TCTTCTTATAGACGCTAGTCAGGTGGTCTCAAATTGGCTCGTTCCGGATGGCCACACATCTGATAATGAAGGTGATACCTTGAATAACGAATGTTTCGATATCGATAACTCTTGCAAAGTAAGGGGAAAGAATGTAAGACCAAAATCGACTGAATCTGAAGAAGATATCCAGAATATATATTATGATAATCAACCCACTGGCAAAAAATCTGAAAAATTAAGATCAAACGGTCGTAAAAAGCGGAGGAAAGCACCCTTTAAATTGCCTAATCTAGACGATGCGTCTTCTTCAACTTCAAGTAACATCATTCATAGTTCAGAAACAGATATCGAATCATCTATCGAACAAATAGATATAATCGTTGATAAAGGAAACGAAAAAATGGTACAAGAGGTGAATTATGATCTTCATGATTTGACAGATGCTAAACATTCTGAAAGTGAAGAGAATGAAAGCCAAAATATTAATTTTATCCATTCCAAATCAGGAAAACAAAGAAACGGGAGTGTGGAAGAACAGCTAATTTGCGATATCGAAGCTATAGAGAGGAATAAGAAGAGGCAAAAGAAGATAAATGCCGCCACTTTTATTGCAGATTCATTGCCATCGAGAGAAGATATTGTGAGATCTCCAATTTTATCCCAAACTGGACTCAATAAACGTCACAGCGGCTCATATCAAAAGTCACAATCACCTGTGATTAGTTCTACATGTCATTCCTCCACACCAGCCCATGTTATTCAAGAAGAAATCGAGGAAGTAAGACCGCTTGATGGCTATTCACGTAACATCATGAGAGTTTTCGTTAAAATGCAGGCACCACATTTAGACGAATCAATTACTCTGATGATACCTTTATCTAAGTAAAACTTTTTATAAACTTGCATAGAGGTCTACTTCTGGTTTCTATAAATTTTAAAACATATTACTTCACTTTTACTGGTTCCTAAGGTGGTATTGTAGATACTATGATTACAGATATTAATTGTAGGGAAAAAAAAATTAAATAAAGAACCATAATTATTATTTGTTATCTTCAATTTTAAATTTAATTTATTTGAAGGACAGAATTTTTTCTTAGAAATAGTTATATGTTTTTCCTTTTTTATATTATATTAAGGTTTAAAAAAAGCTAATTTTTATATCTTAATCCTTATTATCTCGGGTAATATGATTGCAAATGGGCTAAAATTTTGTTTTATAACTGGAATATAGATAACATGCCTGCAAAATTTTTATCGGAATTGAGAAGGGTCGGCCGAAAATATCCATTTTTCCCGCTCATTTGAAAATCAACATGGCATAGTATAGTTATTTTTAAATGAAATTTCCCATTGTTTCTCCTAGTTATCGTTTCCTAGATTTATACCTTTAACTCTAACATCGTCTAAGAGGTCGATTCAAGAAATATTGTTCCCAAAGGGGATTTAAAGAAAAGAAAATTATAATAAAATGGTTAAATAGTTACCCTTACGATATAAATATTTGAATCATGAAAATTTAAAAAAAAAACAAAGTGTATAATGATAATTTTTTTTGAATAAAGTTTTAGCCTATTTTGCTATGTATTTATATCATGTGTTGGAAAAAATGGATGAGTTGATTATATAAAAACCGATATTGGTAAAATTGGATCAAATCGGCCTTTATCTGCATTGGGCCTAATTTTCAAGCACGGCCCAGTCCGAAATTTTTTTTAAAAAAGTTTTCCAAGCCCTGCCCGATTTTATTTTAAATTTATTTTATACTCATAAAAGACATGTGTTCTATGGCGTCTAGTTCTATAAATAAAATAAAATATTCAATTGATAAATCTAAATATATTTAATTAAATTTCCAAGGCCCAACCCAGGCCTACTTTTGCATCTCTAATTATTATTAATTAGTCAATAAGTGGTAAGCCACTGTTATAGGTTAATTGAAAGTATTTGTACTGGTTCATCTCTGATTTAGATAACAATAATCGTGAAAAATAAAGCAAAATTGCCATAATTTGGTGTATTGCTTATTTTTTCTATTAAAATATAAATGAACACTTATAAGTTTTTTAAATTAATATCAAGTAAACTTCCAATCAAAACTATTTAATAATTTTAAAAAAATGCATGAAATTTTTTATAAATCTAATTTAGCATCAAGGGTTAACTCTGTAAAGTTTATTTAATATTTGTCATAGAGGAGGATACAAACAAAACTAATTTTTTTGCTAAAATATGCTACAATTATAAAAATTATCAAGCCAAGACGGAGATAAAACCTTTGAATGGTTAGGTCAAGAGGCTCTCAGACGGTTCGCCGCTTTAAACAGCGACGACAAAAAGACAAGAAAAATGAATAAGAATGATTCCGCTAAAATAAAGTTATGCACGGAAGATGGCGCCTTATTATTTCCTTCTGATCGAGTCTCGGATGTCCTCAACGAAAGAGAAACCGTTCTACTTCGATATTCCTCATGGAATTAAAAAAAATTCGATTATAATAACTCCGTGATGAATGTAGTTTGTTGACATATATATTATCAATCATGTGATTGATACAATTTTTTTAATTTTAAACTTTCATGTATTGCAATACTAGTTATAATTTTCTAAAAATATTACGAATAAAACCAGAATAAAGCTTACAAAAAATTGACTGCTTTAGCACTAATAAATTTAATTTGGTGTCATCGTGTGCTTAATTCTTTGAATGAATTTAATAAATTTACCATTCATAATTGTACCAATCGAATAAGAACAGAATATTTGACTTTTCGTACGAATACAAAGTCAATGACTTTTCGTTCAAAAGAATCAAACACGAATAATTCGATTCATAAACTTCTGAATAGGACTACTTTATAGTGATACTTTTATTGTTTAAAAAATATTATTAGTCAATGGGTTATTTTTACAGCTATAAAATCATTTTTTGAGTGCGTTTTTTTTAAAATTCAAAAATCTGATTTTACAGAAATGTATTACACCATGTTTGGAATACATACACTATGAATTTCACACAAATTTGCTATGAACTTTTGAACTCAATGTAAGTTTTATTAGACTTTCCATATATTTTTTATATTAATTATAAATAACTCAAAGGTAAACAGCAAAATCGCTTACAATTCATAAGATGTGGGTATTTTAAAGATGATAAGTAAATTTCAGACAAATTTGCTATGAACTTAATGTAATTTATAAGACTTTCCATATATTTTTATATAAATTATTAAAATAACTCAAAGGTAAACAGCAAAATCGCTTACAATTCATAAGATGTGGGTATTTTAAAGATGATAGAATATATTTTCGGTAGAATCCGATTTTCAAATTTATAAAAACGCGCTCAATAAATGATTTAAAGTTGGAAAAATAACACATTGACGCTAACATATATATATATAATATTGTTTAAATAAGACATTTTTAAAAAATTCAACTACACAAACACTCTGTTCATACCAATCGTTACCAATACCCTAGGCGTGTTTGGAAGTGAGGCCCTCAATTTTATTAAAATCATAAGATAAAAAATGAGATAGATCTCAGGGGACCCCAATGAAGAATTTTCGTCAGCAGATTTCCCTTGAAATTTGCCAGTCCAATTTTTTATTCACTCTTCTTTAGGGTGATATGTACTCTTTTTTTAAAATATTTTATTTTCTCTTAGTTCTTTTTTATGTTATTTTTTCATAGATATATTTTTTTTAAATTTAATTTTTTAATATATATTTTTAATTCAATTGCATATTTACCATTTTAAAATAAATTAGGAAAAACTATAATTATTTATTTTTTTCGACAACTCCAATCATAGAAGTCAAAAAGGAGCTCATTTTTATTTTATTTTAAAAACCTGGTGTCGCTCTCATTTTGCCATGGTCTGTTTTATGGCACCTTAAAGACTTTTTAACATTTTAACAAGTTAATAATATTGGCTTATCAAAACCGTGAACCCTTTTTTCTGGTGATTTAATATATTCTGTAATATAAAAATCGTTTGTTGTTTGGAAGTAAAAAAAAAATTACGAAAAACGCTCCCTGGAAAACGCTTTGATTTGGAAAAATGGCCATTGAAAAGTAGAAACCGGATACAAAAAACAAGAGGCCTTGGAATAAGGGTTTGGGGAAGAATAACATTAGACAATTTTAAAAATAAATTTTTACACTAATTGTTATTACACGAAAAACTGGAAACTTTACTAGTAATTCTCATATCTGTGATGACAGTTCTTCCGCTTGGCCCTTAAATTGTAAGTGGATTTGATCAAATTATGACTTAACCCTGATTGAATAGACCATGTACTCACTCTTTTCCTAAAGTAAAATAAATGACATTTATGAAATGTGATTGACTCATTTACTACAAAATTAATGGGGAAGTGGGTGAACAAGTAATAAAATAATTTGGGATCTGCACATACCTTATGTTTAGAAATATCGAAAGGAACATGTTATAAAATACAAAGAGTGGAGGTGGAAGATAGAAATAATTTTGAATTAAAAATTATAATTTACATATTTTATATTTGGTATCATTATTAAATAAGGAATATTTAAACCAATTATTATAGAAAACAACTTAAAAGAAAGTGGGGCTTAATGTACAACTCAAGGTACTGACAGTAGTAGCACTCATGACTGTAAAACCTTTGTCCAACATGACGATAGTTGAGATAGAACCAAATGTCATAGCACATACACCAACAGATTACCTGCTTTTATATGGGTTAAATAATTTAGGGAATAACAAGTGAAACTTCCCTCTATAAGGTGAAAACTCAAGACTATAGTTATGTAATTATATTTTTGGTCATAAACCGATTTTTTAGATGGATTGACAGATCAAATTTGAAAAAAATTAATAAAAATTAAAACGCCTTAATGTTAACAGATTTTCTCTGATACACATATAAAATAATAATAAAATATCATTATATTTCTAATTATAATCATGATTTAAATTTTATTAAAACTATCTAATGATTATAATAAATATGCAAAATTCTGTTATAATTTTAAGTTTTTTTCATTATTACTTTTGAGCTGGATGTGTCTATAGAATAATTTTTTAAATATTTTTGTGTAAAGTCCGAAGTTCTGGGTAGAATAATAAAAGTTAGTAAAGGTTCTTGTATGTACAGAATAACTTCATTTGTTTCAGGATATAAAGCTTGTCTCAAGGTTAAATCTTTGAAATTTATTTTGACCAACCTTTGTGCAAATTTATCTTCCCAGTAAATGTCCAAATTGTCTATAGTATACTCTGTCTTGGAATCCCATTGAGGATAAAGTAGTACATCATTTGTCTTCGTGGGAGGAAACATGAGTGATAGGTGATATATGAAATCATCATTTTCACAAAAATCAATGATCAAATCATATTGTTGATATTGTGGGTACACAAATGTCACAGGCCAATGCAATATATTGCTACATAAATATTTTGAGGAATTTGAATTAGCGCTATATTGTTCCAAGTATAAATATGCTTCTCCTTCTGATTTTATTAAGTCGAGGAATTCAGGTTTGATGTGGTCTGATTCACAATATGATTTAGTAATGTGATCGTTACTAGAAAAGGAGTAGTTATCAGTTATGCTTAGAGGAGACTTGAGAAATGGATAGTTAGTATCAATTTTTGTGAAATTTTCCCACAATTTGTCATCACTATAATTTGAAATTTTTGAATTTTGGTCAAATACTCTTATCTTCCTGACGAGAAACGCAGTTTTTAAACTATTTAAAATGTATACTTTCAACACCAACTTTTTTGAAACTAAATTTTTGGCATTTTGTATCTCTGACAATTTTTTTGATGTTATGGATTGTTTTTCTTGTAGAAATGCAATATCTTCTTTCGACAAATTTTCTAAGTTATCCAAACGCTCTTTACATAAACTTAATTAAACATATCAAACATTATATTTTTATATACTTTTACTTAAATGCTTTTTGATATTTTTCTAATTTGAGACTAGATAAAATTGCTTTATATAGAGGCTTTAAATAATTAGGATTTAATGATAAAGACTTCTCAGCATCCTTGAGGCAGGAACCAAAATTATCTTTGGAGATAAATTATATTATTTATATAAAGATTAAACAAACTTAATAGGTAATTAGCAGTTGCTCGATTAGAATACAAGATTGAATTGAGAACATTGTCATTATATTTTAGATTTATTGCCTTTGTATACGATTGCACAGCAGGTTCATAGTATTTTTGTTTTAAATTATGATCCCCATCTTCTTTATAATTCTGCACCAATATCGAAATATCATTATCTTCATATTTGATAGCCTATCTATTATTAGAAGAAAAATGATTTTGATAAATAAAATTACCTGTAATGCCTGAAACAATTCAGGCAATTCTTCTCCGGGTAGTATAGGTTTAGTTCTGAAAATTGGATGTTTTTCCAATTCAGTTGTCCAATTTTCTTCCGTAAATTTTTGCATTTATAATTTGAATTTGCTGGTTGTATTAAAAAGAACAAAGATGACACTCATCATAGACAGGTCACACGATGGTTTTCAAATGTGACATTATTGGATAATTATATGGGTATTATTTTGATTCGCAATAGGTTAACTAAATGCATTTCATTTTAAAATATGAGCGAATAATTTATATACTATTTTCTATGTTATTTATTAAAAAGACAAAAAAAGAATTATACATTTATTTTGCTCCTTGATCGATCGGTCCTTTAAAAACTATAATAAATTCTGGAGGCCCCTTCTTGCAAATCCTCCAAGTTTTTTTACACAAGGAAGTCCTCAAATAAAAAATAATATTTGGGAATATAAGAATTAATATAATGAGTTGGGTGATTAAAATAAATAAAATTTACGTTTAACAAAAATTATAATTTACATTATCTTTAGCCTTCTAATTTGGTTTACCCTGGAAGCGTTATAAATAAGTCATAAATGTAAAACTCTGCGTAAAATTTTACAAAAGGAGGTTTACCATTAGTTTTCATTTATAAATACTTCATCATAATTATAAAATATTCATATATACTCTACATAAGCAAAAAAATTATAAGAAATTACTTCGACTTTTGAAAATCTTATGATTATCATAAATTTTTTAACGATTTTATTTTATTAAATACTTTCATTTTTATAATTCATATTATTTTTTTTAAAAAACAATTTTAATTTATAAAATGGGAATATGATACAAAAATAAAATATATTTAAAAAAGGTAATTTTTATTAAAAAATTTATAATTTATAAAACGTGAAACGATCCTCTAGGTATTATGGATTGATATAGTTACCTAATCACAAATAAAATCCTTTGCCTAAGGTAAAAACCTACTTGAGAATCACCGATTAAGAGCTATTTTTTAAGAAATCTCAATTTCTGGATCCGAAAACACCTGTCAGAAACAATGATTTTTAACAAATTGAATATGAACTCTATTTGTCTAAATTTTACCCTTTCATAAGGTACCTGCTTTATAAGATTACGTTGGTGTAAGTAAACAAAAAATCCGAAGTTAGAGATCAAACCTGTCTAACTTTTCGCGTCTTACCATTCAAAATATACTTTGGTCCGGGAAGGGTGTTCATCCATTCGAGTATTATTTTTGTATTAAAAATTAACCCAGATATTATGTGATTGACTTATCATCAAAAGGTTAATGCTATCGATCGATTTAAGAATGACAAAATTGGCTCTCAGACATCTCTATCATGTGCCAGCTACCGGTGTTTAAAAATATTCCTTTATTGTAAAATTTTGATTAAAAAAATTATATTTTAAACTTAAAGGACGCATTTTTGTGTGACGGAACAGGAATACAAAATTTCCTAGTTTAGCCGGGTCCACTGACTTAGTCATATTTATATATGAATTAATTTTTTTTTTGTAAAATAAATTACTGACATATTTTTTAAATACTACACAATTTAAATGATAGCAAGAATGCCATATTTTTTTTCATTGTTTTAATAAAAGTAATGCTTCGATACTTTATAAGGTGTTACGGAAAAAGTTAACCTCAATTTATACTGAGCCAAATAAAAATTTTCCTCGGCCAAAAGACCTTTCGATTAAAATTTAAAGAGAATCTGTTAGGTACCACTTCCTTGGAACGATATTTTTAAATCCTTTTTTCCAATTTAACGCATAATATTATTAGTTTGTACAGCCTATATAATAATAATTTTTTTTACAATAATAAATTTAGTAATAAAGACAATATTGTCATCATTAAATTTAAATAAAAATTTTCAAAATATAAAAATTTATATTTGATAGACATGTGACAAAATATTACTTTTATTATAATTATTTTTCGAAGAAAATCATTATAAAAATAATAAAATTTGATTTAAATTCATGATTCTATTTTTTATATCTTTTTCTTTTCAAAAGGCTTCCACAATCCCATGAATTCAACCACGGATTTGGACAACTGTTCGAAGGATAGATGTCGAGGTTTTCGCCATAAATTGGTATCAGTTATTTCCAAAATCCCGCCTAAAACTTCCTATAATTTATTTAAGTTGCAAATAAAAAAAACAATTTTTTTCCTCGTAATGGAGCAAATTTTTTATTACTTTTCCGAAATAATGAGGAAATCCAGCCCGGTTTTCGATTATATGCGCGTAACCATTATTATGACTGACAGATGTCGAAGATGATTTATCACCTTCCATAATTGCGAAAGCGAAATAAGGCAAATTTTTTGGTACAACTCGAGACGGGTTAAGGTGATGCTTCATGTCGATCAGTTTTTTATTGTCGCTCCATTCGTATTCGGCTTCCGAGATGGCTTTCTGTAATTATAAATGATTTTTTAAAAAATTTTTTAATATATATAGTGAAAGAACTAAATGCCAGGTTAAGAGGATGCATGGTGGACAAATAAATATAAATAAAAAGTATAAGAAATATCGGTGTTGGTTAAGTAATAATGCACCTTCTTTGGGAAAAACGCTAGCGGATTATTTTACAAAATTAAATCTTAAGCTACAAATTTTATTTTTTTTACTATAAAAATTAAAGAATAATTGTAATTAATATTCACATTTAAGCCCGATAATAACTCTATGTTTTAGAAAAAATTGTATTAATCAACCCTTGATATCTTGGTTAATGATAGTCACTACCAAGTCAACGTATAGCAAATTTCTAAATAACAACCAAATTTGCTAAATACTGAACAAAATTTATTTAAAATGTAATGAAACCCTTATTATTTAACATTATAACGGAATCGAGTCTGGCCTCCTATATAACATACAACCAAGGACGGAACCAAGTAGTTAGATTATGAAAAAAAAACATGATCATTGCTGAGATTCGAACCCATAACCATCGGATTGGCAAGCGACGCTCTTTATGTAATAACATAAGGAAGTGTAGTGACTATCATTAACCTGATACGAACCCTAGCACTTTTTGCGAAAATTGTAATTAGTGGAATCATTTTTATTATATTTTAGAGTCTATTTTATGTAAAGTTTTCAGCAAATTTAAAAGATTTTTTTAATTGTATCCCTGTCATTATTGTTAAAATAGGTAGAAGGGTCAAAAATCCGATAAATGGAGTTATTAAGAGAATGATTATTATTATTTATAGTGTATTCATCTTTCTAAATAAATAATATATATTTTAATATTTATTGTTTGTTGGATTATTAAATCAAAAGACCAAAGAAAAGAACAAAATCATAAGGCAAGATTGCTTTATTAAATGCAAGTTGCATAGCATAGTCAAAGGTAGGCATAAAAAATCGATTTTAATTTTAACATCACGATTATTGGAAGATTTCATGAGAATCAGCTTATAAAATTTAAAAAAAAACAGATTATTATTTTTATGGTGAATGCTAAATATATTTAAAAAAAATTAAAAAAAAATATTCCTGATATTTTTGCCTAAATTTTATAAGTCATTATTTTTCCTGGACCAAGAAAGAAAGAAAGATAGAAAGAAATATAGATAGAAAGAAAGAAAGAAAGAAAGAAAGAAAGAAAGAAAGAAAGAAAGAAAGAAAGAAAGAAAGAAAGAAAGAAAGAAAGAAAGAAAGAAAGAAAGAAAGAAAGAAAGAAAGAAAGAAAGAAAGAAAGAAAGAAAGAAAGAAAGAAAGAAAGAAAGAAAGAAAGAAAGAAAGAAAGAAAGAAAGAAAGAAAGAAAGAAAGAAAGAAAGAAAGAAAGAAAGAAAGAAAGAAAGAAAGAAAGAAAGAAAGAAAGAAAGAAAGAAAGAAAGAAAGAAAGAAAGAAAGAAAGAAAGAAAGAAAGAAAGAAAGAAAGAAAGAAAGAAAGAAAGAAAGAAAGAAAGAAAGAAAGAAAGAAAGAAAGAAAGAAAGAAGAGGAAAGAAAGACGAATCCTGAACCCTAAATTTAATAAAAGGGTTTGGATTTCAGTAAAATATCGATGTTTCTATGTACAAGTTCACAGCGCTGATTAATTCAATATTCCCAACCCAAACGTACTTGAAAATCAAAATTTCAAAAAATAAAAAAATTTGATACTATAAAAATTTATATTTATTTTTCGGTATACAAGAAATTATATGAATTGAACGAAATAGTAAAATAATATACGATCAAGCCGATTCTTATTGGTGTTCTGCAAAGCCCGACCCTCCCGCTGGGTTCTAAATTGCTTTTCGTGCTGGACATAATGGTGTTTAGGCCCCATGCAGGTCTCGAATTCAATCATTGATAAAATTTAAATGTTTATAAAACTGATCCAACCCGATTTGTTTTTAATAAATAATCACAATTACTAGACCCGAGGGTTTAATAAATCTATATTTTTAACACCGGAAAATTTTAATCATTCCAAAAACTCTGATAAATGCAGGTCTATAAACCTAATAAAAATTCATTAACTTAAATAAGTAGTATGTACATCTTTATCAGTCCATTCACAAATGATTCATACATAACTTGAATTATTATAAGTATTTAATCTGAAGAATAAATATATAATATGCGGTGCCTTACTTTAAAATACATGGGGATTTGGGAAACCAGTTTTTTCGGCACTGGAACGCAAGTTATTCGAGTGTGATAAAATTTTTTGGTATCCAGGCAACCGTACAGGAATATTGGTTGGAGTTTTAACGTTGCTAGCATATCGGAAAGATGCTCCATATATTTCTGGGGAAGACAAGAAAAAGTAATATACAATATTTTAACAAATTTAAATGTATAGGTAGTGTTGTTAAACGGCTCGAAACCATTTTTAAAAACGTCTAACTCAACATTATAGCCAGTAAAACATTGCCTAAGCGTCGAAATTTCGCCAATAGATGTTCAATCCTATGTGCCATCTATGATAGGCTTAAATGATATTATTAAGTTAACCGTTTGTAAAAATCGGCACAAATTGAGTCCCTAACAACACTATGTATAGGTTGTTTTTAATTAGTGGGGTTAGCTAATTTTTTTAGCTCTTATCCTTTGCCCCCCCCCTCCCAGTGACAATGTTCTGATGGTTTCAATCAGAGTTGCTACAAAGGTACTTTTAAATGGATCAAGATACATAATCTAAAAATATATCTAGATATAGATACAATTTTAAAAATGTATAAATACAGATATGACATTTTTGTATTTATAAATCTGGTTTGATTTTGATTACATGTTATTTTGTCAGAGAACCGCCATTAGAATCTTAATCTTTGGTAGGGAGCGTTTCCAGTAGTTTAGTGATTCTACTTTTCCCCCATATTCCATATATTTTTTTAGATGTCATAATTATGGCATGTGCAAATCAAATAAAGGCCCAACTTTTTAAATAAAAAATAACATTAATAAATGGTTTCCATGTAAGAAAAGAGAGCGTAAGATAGATTGGAAGGGGGGGGGGGTATATATGTAAAGTTTATATAACCTGCATCTCGTTCCAACAATCATCTTCTAAATCGTGCATGGATGTTATATGATTCATTGGAGAAATGTAGCACTCATAAGGAACTAACGGTTCACTATCCGGTAAGGCAATGTAACTCTAAAAATAAATAGAAGAAATGAGTAATATCCATCATAGAATATACGTACAAAATTAACTAATATACAATTAAAATGGTTTACTACTATAATTATTATCTTTTAAATGAGATTAACTTTACAATATTAGCGCACCAATTTCGAAAAATGAATATGATTTTTTTTGAAATAAAAATTAGCATTTCAAATTTTAAAAATTTGAATAGACAAAAATAGCAATCCTTAAAAATTTGACGACTTATTTTTAAAATTTTTTTTTATTATCCTTGTGGCATAATCGATAATTTATAATATTTAGACATTCCAAATCAATATATTTTATCTTAATAATTTAAATTAAAGTTATTCATAATATGTTTGGCAATTAATATTAAAGAGCTATTTTGAAGCCGATTTTTTAAAATGTCAAACTCAATATTTCATTCAGAAAAATATTAAGCGAGTCTGAATATTTTACACATAGAACAACGGTCTAGACAATATTTTTCTTGCTAAAATATTGTTAAAAAAACCGACTCAAAGCGTTTAACAACATTAGAGTAAAGTTTTTGAAATTTATTTTGAGCGTTTATGATTATTTTCTAAGCGAAAATTTAACGATATAAAAAAAAATTAAGAGTGGTCGAATACAAAAAAAATATGGATAATAGAATATGAATATGAATGTGAAAAACAAACTTTGGTTCCATAAGTGACTAAGGAATGTTTTATCATTTGAGGGCTATCAAAGCATAATTTGCATTTTTCGATGGACGCCACAGCTTGTTTGTAATCTATATAGTTTAAAATTCAAAAATATGAGAAAATAATTAGAAGCAAAGGTTTAAAAAAAAGATACACAAGAAAGAAAACGGTTACATAAAAATTAAGGCGAAATCACTTAAATAAGAGCATGTTAAATTTCACTTGCTGGCCTAGTAACACGAAAAATTAAAAATTTTTGCCAGAAAATTATTCACAACCAGGCTCTGACATTGGTACAGATTTTCAAAAAAAAAATGTTACTCAAAATATTTATTTTATTCTACATTTTAATGTCAATAATCTTGATAATTCAATGATGTATCTTTATTTTATTCTACAAAAAGAAAATTAATAACAAATATATTCGACATTCTGATTAAAACTTTTTTTAGCGATATACAATCAGGGAAGGAAATATAGCATTAACAATTTTTGGGCCATTGGTCGGGTTGACTGGCCAACCTTGCAAGACCCTGTGGTCCACCTTTTCAATATCGATAAAAAACTTGTGGGGAGTAGAGACGTTTATATCGTCTAATTATTAGACAACATTTTAGCGCTTAAATCTCCATAGATTCTCTCAGATAATCAGCACAATTAGTTATAATTGTCGTTTTCACTCCAAATTATAAAATCATTAAATTGGTATATTATAACTCAGTATCCCAAACCGCTTTTTTCAAAAAAATAATTATCATTAAAAAAAGGCTAATTTTATGTCTTTAATATTCATTATATCATATAAAATAAGAGATGAGAAGGGAGGTTCATTTTTTTACTAGATGAAATGATATTAACAAGCTACCCAAATTTTAATCTAAATTCAATGGAGTGTGCCAATGTTTCTGTTGTTAAAACGGGTAGTTTTAGTGTTTTGAAACGGCAAGTTTTGAGCCGGTTTCTTAAAACGGCTAACTCATTATTTCAGCTAGAAAAATATTGCCTAAGTCTCGAGATTTCGATAAAATATGTCTACTAGATCTTTGTTCCTTATACGAGAAAAAGCTTCAGGCTTGTGTAATATTTTTCTGGATGAAATATCGAGTTAGCTGTTTTTAGAAAATTGGCTTTAGATCATCTAGCCATTTAACAACACTAGGTAGGTAGGTAGTTTATCAACGCAAAATGAAAATAAAAAATAAAGAAGATTATGGAAAACAAATATGTTGGTGAGGGGTGATATGATATCAAAGTATGGAATGTTCACTCAAAATGGTGGTGTCCCTCTGAACTTTGATAGAATTATCCATTTCAAGCTTTTGTCTTTTGCTTTCTCCAGAGACGAATTCACCAGTACGTATGTCAAAATGTTGGTCAGATGCCCCATTCTCGTATTCGTTAGCATAGGCTTTAGCATTGGCAAAAGTTTTCTTGTGATTTTGGCGCTATATATAAGTAAGATTTACAAATTTTCTGGTAATTTTAATTTGTCTCTCCAAATTTTGAAAAAAACAACTTTCCTACAGTTAAAATGGATCCAATATATATCATAATCCTGCAAGCCAGGCCTAATGATAAAACTTATTAAAAATTATGACTCAATAATTAACAAAATGGTGAATCATTAACAATTCAATCATTTTTCATATTTCCAATTCTCTTTGAAGGGATTGACGAGACACATGTGTAATCCGAATCCCCCATATAAGTGATTTACCAACGGCCCAAGATATGATTGACATGTGATCAGGTCTTAGGCCCTCCCCTCTACTTGAGATAAGTTTGTTGGTTCAAGATTGTTCGGAATGTGGGCAGCTGTTAGGCTTCTATTTATTACATGATTTACTGTTGTGTGGCGCTGGTGGCGCCCTTGACTAAATATACAATTAAGGTCATGCCTACCCTTTGAATCGATGGGTGATTTGCATTTGATGCAAACATGAGGCTGTACGATGTCACAACCTAGATGTAAACCAATGGTTACTCTCAGTTGTTCATCTGATAAGAGATTACAAAGGTTACAACTAGGGAGTGAATCTAAATGACTACCAAGTCTGTCAGATAATTGAAGGAGTTGAATGCAATCTAAAGGTGGATTGACTGATATATCTGTTTGGTATTTCGAGATTAAATGCGTGAAAATTTTTTTGTTTGTGATGATTGATGGTAAGCCAACGTTAATGGGTATATATGCCTTCAATTTTAAAAATGTGTCATCTAATAAACAATCAGTAGGGCATATGAAGCCAGAAATCATAGAATTGTTTGATAACATGGTTGCATCAAATGTAAATTACCCATTGATTCAAAGGGTAGGTATGGCCTTAATTGTATATTTAGTCAAGGGCGACACCAACACCACACAGCAGTGAACCATGTAATAAATAGAAGCCTTACAGCTGCCCACATTCCAAATAATCTTGAACCAACAAACTTATCTCAAGTAGATGGCTTAAGACCTGATGGTATGATAACCATAACTTGGGCCCTCGATAAATCACTTGGAAATTAAAAAGACCATCAAATATAAAAATTTTAAAAACTTCATATTCACTCCCATAGTGACCTCTACAAATGGGCATTTTTTGCCATCAACATTTAAATTTTTTAAAATTTTAGGAAATAAAATATGGCTTTTTACAAATGAACCTAAAGAATTTCCTTATATTCACCAAAAAATTCAAATTCAAATTTTTACACATAATTATGGTTCCTTTTTGGGGACTCAATTATAGAATTATATTTTTAATTATATAATCATAAATTTTTAAATTATAATCTTTTAACCATGATTATGTAAAATTTAAACAAATTCTCTTTGAAAACAATTTACGAAATGTAGTCAAAACAAAAATATTTAAAATAATCAAATTTTTAGTCCTAACAAGATAAGGAATAAATGGGGGTTCTCCAATGACATATAATAATACCAAGACTGAGGATGCATTCATTAAAAGCGTACACTAATGAAAAACAGCCAAGGGCACCAATTTGGCTACCCATATCATTATTAAAAAATTTTAAACAAAAGACCAATTTATTTTTATGTATGACATAAACTTTAATCCTTATCATCGAGATAATAAGGAAGCCAGTTATCAATTTAATAGTGGTTTTTAATATGAGAATGATAACTATATTGGTTATCAAAAAGGTGAGTCCAGCTGATTTACATTCTTCGATGTTTTCAAATGCATTATTATGAATGCATTTTCAGTCTAGATATCATTATATGTCATTGGGGTTCTCTCAATTTTAAGGATATATTGATTTAATGGAAATATAATCCAGCAAACATAGACTAATAAATTGTAAATTTCATACCAATTTTGAACTATTATTGTTTTATATAAAAAGTTATACCAAATTTTCATATAAATTTAAAATTATATCAAAAATTTTGGATATCGAGATCTGGGGTGTTATCAACAAACTAGAATTCACTCTTGTCCAAGCTAGATAGCCCTAATTTAAAAATTGCCCTCATAGTTATTAAATGAGATATTTTAAATTGGATTACAAATCCATGAGTATACATATATTTTTTTAACAATGGACTTACATTATTATTGTAACCAGCATTTCTATTTGAATATTGACCACCCATTCCCCTAGAATTCCTGTTATGTTGCCTTTCATTAAAGTTCGAATTATCATGAGTATTTTTATGATCATTGGGCTGTGACAAGTATTTATCTCTGGCTTTTTCCAAAAGGGACCCCCATTGTTTCATACCTTCTCTATTGATATCTAGTGATGCATTATTCAAATTATTTCCAGGAATGCTTATTTCACACTTGATATAGTATCTCATGTACTCTGCCGCTATTTTATTGAGTTCAAGAAGATGAAGTCTCAAATCAGATGTAACTTTGTTAGAAAGGAGGTCAAAAAAACTATTGCCACTCTTTGGGATATTGGAGTAATGAATTGTTGTTTTAATTTCATCAACAATTGCTTCATCATTTGAGATATTTAATTCAAAATTTTTACTTGTTGTGTGGATATTTTTTAAAATTGAAGATTCATTTGGTGTTTCTGCAACCTCCAATTTTTCTTTATTTTTTTTCCATCCAGCTGATTTAAACGTTCTGTTTTCAGGTAATAAATTTGAGCTTTCTTGTTGGTGTAAACTTTTATTTAGTATATAATTTGTATCGTTGGTAGGTTTTATAAACAAATCTTTGTCCTTTTTCCCAAGTTTATCATACTTGCTATAACCATGTTTATTATGTATATATCTTGAGGGTGGTTGATCAGATGCATAGGAGACATCTTCTTTCTTCTCAGCTTCCTCAAGCAATTTTTTAAATTTTTCCAATGACTAAATTTTTAAAAAAATTAGGGGATAGATTATATATACAAAAAAATAGTTAAATATTGGTATCCTTAATCATTAAAAAATACCCACTCCCCATCTCTCTGCTATAATTTCTTGTAGAGGTCTTCCTGTGTCAACTGATTGTTCTTTTGCTCTTTTAAATGATTTCCTTAGCCAACTTGCACCTCCATCCCCAATAATTATTGATGGTGTAGAATTTGTTTTGTTAGAAATATCTACTTTATTGCATGGGTTTTTAAAATATGGATTTAATTCTCTTGATTGTCTTACTTTCTACAATTTACAGTTAGCTAAATTAATAAATTGTATTAATACTTCTATCTCCTCATCTTTAAGTTTTTTTTTGTCAGATCTATCTTGCTTATTATCTAAAGTTGAATATCTTCCAATCAAACTTGAAAAACAATCCTCATCATAGTCTTTAGGTGATGATTTATCCTGGATTACAACATTAGTATCTTCTTTTTCAACCCAAACTTCCTCATAATCCTACATTTAATTTTATTAAAAAAATTATTTTCATATCTTACATTCATCACTGAACCAACTTTGCACAAAAATATAATGACATTGTTACATGTCACATCTAACTGCCAGATTATTAAGTTTCTGTATTTCGACTATATTAGCTTATAAAGGTTTTTCGTATGGATGATGGTGTAGTGGATGATATTTGGGTGGCATTTTAATATAAATTATTAATTTAAAAAAAACGGTCAAATTTATAACCAAAATAACATTATGTAAGCTATAAAATTTTGCTAGCTGGCAGAAATGCTTGGACATCTATTGGCAAGTCTTAATCGGGCCGTTTTGAAAAATCACCTGACTCGATCTTTTTAACAACACAACTTATTATAAATTTTATGAGCAGATTGTTATACATAAATAACTAAAATTTGTTGCCAAAATAAATGTGCTGTATAACTCACACAACTGGAACCTTTCTTTAAAATGCCAATGTTGAATAGCCCGATTCAGGTTGATGTTTAAAAACGAGTCGATAAATATTTTACTAAAATAATGTTATATAAGCATCGAGATTTGATAAATAGAGATCCAAATTTTTCTGCCTATTATGAGCAAAATCTCTATGATTAGATAATATTATTTTGGTTAAAATCTTATTCGGTCAGTTTTTAAAATCATTCCAAATCAGTTTTTTTACAAAACTTTTTTATATAATAAAACTCGATTTCAATAATTCTATTAAGAATATTCTTAGACATATCCGCTTTCCCTAAATCCAACTGCTTATTGCTAATATCTCTAAAATTTTATAATATTATTCACTTAAAACATGTATATAACAGGTGATCTCATTGGCCAGGAATCTATTTATTTAAGGAAAGAAATATATTTTGAATATAATTTATATAGGCAATGTTATTAGAGTTTCAATATTTTTCGTTATTATGTTATCATAACCTTCTATCTAAGATATTAGAAATGCCCATTATTATCAAATTAGTGTAGGTCTTATTCTTAAATCAAAATTTAATTATCCCTCTCTTACTTTTTTCATACAATGTATATTTTAAAATTAACTCGCTTAAGACCACTTTAATTATCTCATATAGTATGGTTAAAAAGCCCATTTGTGTTGATTTTTTAAAATGACCCGATTAAGAATATAGATATAATATGTCAGTATAGAGATTTTTCAAATAGAAGTATAAGCATTTCTGACAGATATTAGCAAAATCTTTAGACTTACATAAACTTATGTTGGTTATGATCTTAATCAGACCGTTTTTTAAAATGATCCGAATCTGACATTTTAACAACACTAATTTCATATTTATTATATGTTGCATGTGCGCTATTATATATTTAAATACTTAAATAATTTATATTTAAAGTTCAGTTAAACTATTATATATTTAAACACTTAAATAATTTATATTTAAAGTTCAGTGAAATTTATTTGTATATCTCAAGGCAACAAAATATATACATAAATGAATATGTATTTTTCTTTTTACATAGATATTTTTCATTTTAAAAACGACTTGTATTTTCTTTTTGAGTAAATATAAATAAAATACTAATTTAGAATAACAACCATTATAGATTAAATATTCAAGCCTTATAAATAAAATACCAATTTACTATAACAACCATTCTAGATTAAATATTCAAACTTATATCTTCTTTTTCATTATTATACATATACATAAGATGGTTTAAATCCATAATACATTTATACCGCATATAATAAATAGACAGAGCGAGGGAAATATTAATAATGATATATCCAAACAAACTATATGAGTGTTCGGAAGTTTATATATATATATATAATTGTAATTATAATAAATATAATATAATATAAATATCACATGATAAATGATGTGGGTGTTAGGTAGTTTACCTAATCCAATATCATATCAAGTCATAAATATATATATATAATCATTATTACCATATCTAATGAAGATTATAATAATTCATAATATATAAATAGTATATTTAAATATATTTCTACATTACTACATTTCCTCTTCATTAACTAAAAGGAAAGCTACATCTCCTAGTATATTATGCCAAATTGAGGTCCACCTCTAATCAAAATGAATTTTTATTAGTAATTTATTAATAAATGTCATACAATATTACAGGCCAAAATATTTTCCGTCCTATTTGACATAATTATTTTAAAAAATATTTAGGGACATAAAATCAAAAAATCAAGTATAAATATAATTTTAAGGAAATATTTAGACATTTAAAGAATCATATTTTTTTAATAAAAAAATGATTATGAAAGATTTAAATTAAATATTGGTATTCATATTTTCCTTAAAGATTGTAGTAAATATTTCAAAATATTTATCATCTAATATAATCACTAACCCTCATCTTGTTGCATAGCCTTAAGCTAGCTGTTACCGTGGTCCACGAGCTTTATATCAATCCTTAACCTGAACAGCTTAGTTTGGTAAATACAAAGAGAAACATTGGCTTCTTCACGCCACTCAGCAGCCCTAAGTATCTTTTAAATTTTATCAATTGTAGCGGGTTTGGTGCCTAGTAAAATGACTATTAAATCTGATGCATAACTTCAAGTTAGAACACGCTTAAGAACCTTATATCAATCCTATCTTTAACCGCATAGTTTGGTAAAAAGTAAAAGAAACTTATTACCTGCTTTGCGCTCTTAGTGCTGCTAAGTCCTAAGTATATTTAGAATTCTAATAGAGTGGGTTTGATGTCTAATAAAATAGGTATTTCTTGGCTTCTAATATAAACACTATTGTTACAACTATAATATTAATAACATCTCAAATGTCACAAAATATCTTCTAATCCTTTAATCTTAAATAGATTTTTTAAAATATATTTTATACATATATAAAATATTTTTTAGATAAATATTAAAAGCTTAGTTACATAGTGCTTATAAGTTGGACGTTTGCAATTTATATTTTCATTCAAAAGAATTAAAATATACGCAGCCAGTTAACACGACATTTTTGTTTCTCGTATAAGAAAAATTAATGAAACTCTGATTTTTCAAACATGTTTTCATAAAATTTTAATAAATTATTTGTATGGGAAATCAAAATGAGGTATCGCCAGCGATATACATTTACATGAATGAGTCGTCAGTGATATTGTCACTACCCCTCCAAAACAGGGATGACACTAGCCTCTACTATATCAGGGGACTCAAAAAAATTTGTTAAAATTATTTTTAAAATTATCTTATTTTTAAGCTATTATTTTTAAGCTAACTTACTTATTTTTTTTAGTAGAATAAAATAAAATTTCAAAATTTTGAGGAGGCTCTTCAAATTTTTGGGACTTGAGTCCTTGCCTTCTCCCTAGTAACGCTACTCTTCCAAAAAAGGAAGACAGCCTGTCTGGCCCTGGGAAAAATTTTAGCTAACTTTCTAAATATAAATTACTAATTGCTATATATTATATATTATTTATTTTAAATTGATTGCACTTATAAAGTAAAATCATTATAAATTATATAACAATAAAAAATAAAATATTATCTCTAATAAAAATTCAAATTATTCACAGAAATATGCCAAAAAATTTTAATATTCTTAAAAATAAAAACAACCTTCTACATGATATCACGACACAATTTTGAATAAATGTATTTTTGTGTCCCTTATAGAAGTACATAATTTTTTTTAGCTGTTTAGATAAATAACGAAGCTTCTCAAATTTTTTTCAAACTATATGTTTAGACTGTAGGTTATAACGGCTGGAGCATTATTTTAATAAATAATTAATCAATAGAAGAAAATAATTATTATATGACCAGATTAATCGACATATCTCGTTCTAACTATTATTTGAACGATTAAATAATACTAAAGTATACCCTTAGGTAAAGTTTTCGAACCTAAATGCCAAAAAATCAAGTTTTTTTAACCCATTCTCTGAATGGGTATAATTATAGAGAGAATTATGGCCATTGAAGGAATTAATTAACGCAATTTTTAAAAAAATATCCCCAAAAGATATATTAGTTATAAATATGTTTTGGTGGTTTCCTTTCAGAAGATAGTTTTGGTTCTAAAAAGAAATAGCTCCTGTTCTGAGGCTTGGTATAAGTTGATCTTCTTCTCCTTTCAGTGGAAAAGTTTACGTAGGTCAGCCAGTTTCCCCTCTAATTATTTTTTCACGTTTTTGTCTGTCCTGAGCATTAAATTTTGTAAGATTCATTTTCCTTATATCCGCCTCTATCTCCTTTAACGTCATCTTAGGCCTTCCACGAAGCTTGGTTATGTTTTGTCTTACGTTCCACGTGCCCAAACTAAATAAGTCAATTTCTTTTCATTACCATTCTATTCAAATATATTCCAATCCTTATATTTACTAGCAGTTCCTTGCTAGTTTTTCTATACCACACACATACATCTAATAACTCTCATCTCTGTTCTTTTCAATTTGGCTTTGTGTGCCACTTTCATTTCCATGTTTAGGCCGCCTTACAAAACAACTCCTCACACAGCTTACGTAAACTTTCCCCTTTAACTTCATGTTTTTTATTGGTTAAAATAGACCACTAACTTCTTCTATTTTCTCTCTCTCTTTCTTTCTTTCTTTCTTTCTTTCTTTCTTTCTTTCCATTTCTATCTTTCCATAAAAGCTATATTTTGAAAATTCTTCAAATTTTTAATTTATTTACTATATTTGAAACGTAATTTATATAGTATAAAAAATAATTTAAAAAAATATATATTATATTAGAATGAAATAAAAAAAATAATTATTATTTAGTTTTCATCAAACATCTTTCGGAATTTCATAGCAAACGTTATAGAGGTATAAGAGGACTCAGGGCAACATGGGTAGGTAGTATTTTTTGCGAAGACTATATTATCCATCAATTCCCAATTCACGGTGGGGAAGTAGTAATTTATGTCAATTTTGTTATCACCTTCAAACAAATCTAAATGTAGCATACTGTTATCGAATACCCAAGAACCGTACCTTAAAAAGCACCAACGGATTAGCTCGTGACTACTCTGCTCAAAAAATGTTTCCGGGAACTCCTCTCTTTTATCCAACCAGTTAGATGAGATGTCAGGTGGATACGATTTGTTGAGTTGTGAAAGGCAATGGGTCTTAATTGTAACCGGAGGTACCCATAAAACATTCCCCGTATTTTCTATTATTGTGTATATATTTTTGGAGACCTTATCAGTTATTTCCTCTTTCCTTTTTTTGTTCACATATTTTTAACATGATTTTAAAATGGGTAGAGAAATAATATTATACAATGCTATATAATACATGAATAAATCTTACTGCTATAAAAAAATAAAAGCATTTAGTATCACACTTTTAAAACCATATTTGCAATTCGAACATAGGTGATTCCTATTTAAAAATTTTAAACTTAAAACTGAATGGGGTTTTAAACATATTTCTACCCTATTTTGTGGGGCGTGATTAATTAATTGATTATGTTAAAATCTTAAGCTAACTGTAAAATAAATAAGATTATTACCCAAAATATAATATAACATCCGGGTACCAGATATCTTCGTATCTAAAAGAAAGTATTTTTTGTATATTTTCGTGCTTTGCAGGATCCCATTTCAATCTTGGATCATTCCATGACTTTTATTTTAAATATATATGGATTGAAATTTTTAAAAAAAACATGGCCTATTTGTAAAATATTCCTAAACATTTGATATAAAATTGCAAAAGAAAATATATCTTAAAATTACCGCCTTTTGACGTAGTCAACCAGTTTTTAATGTAAATTTCAATCAGAATTATTTTAGAAATAGTTTCGTATATGCTGGAACCTTTAAAAAACTTCATCAATATGCATGGGACATTTATTATTCAATAAATAATTTTAGTTTTATGAAATAACTTCTGAAATTTGATTAGGATAATGTTCATTTCATTACACCCTCCCCACTAGTGTTGTTAAAAAACCCGATTTGGGTCGATTTTTCAAAACGGCTCGATTAAGATTTTAGCTAAACTAATATTATGTAAGCATCGAGATTTGAGAAATAGATGTCCAAGCATTTCTGCCACCTATGTGCAAAATCTTTAGAAATGTTATTTTAGTTATAATCTTAATGGGGTCGTTTTTTAGATCGACCCAAATCGGGCTTTTTAACAATACTACTCCCTACATTTACACGAATTCATAGATACATTATGATTTTCGTAAAGTGTGGGTATGGGAGGAGGGGGTTGGGTGTAATTATCACTAAATATTTTTATCTTCAAAGAACTTTGGCCGGATATGTTTTAAGTTTGGTTTTACAATTATTTAAAACAAATCTTTTGAATAAAACGTAAACGATTTATTGATTGTAATCTCTTAAAAGAGGAGATCTCCGTTAATTTGAGATATATATTTTGCCAAAATTTTTTAAAAAGTTAGAAATAAGTTTTGGGGTAAAATATCTGAAAGGTCGTGGTTCATTCTATTTGGTGTCCTTTATGCTGTAAGGATCGAATTAATGTTTGAGCTAGAGGGAATCTGGGAGACACAAATAAAATTCAAAAAAGGTGTTTACCTTAAAGAACAGTTTGTAAGTCCATCTGGTCTTTTCATATCAGACAGGAATAGCGGGTTTTAGGAGATTGGGGTACTTGGCCAACCCTAATTTATTAGAGATTATAGAATTAATAGCTTTATGGAAACTAAACCGTCCTTTAAGGTTAATAATATAAGTTGAAATGACAATACTTTACTAGGTAAAATTATTCACATCTAAGGGGGGTTAGCAAATTTAAAAACTATTCTTCATAGATCCAGATATTTCCAATTTTTTATAGGTCTAGAGCTTTGAGTTCATTTGTTTTTCTTTAATAAAACAAAATATTTCCTCGGAAATATCGAAATGGGATTCATTATTATAAAACACCTCGCAGTTATCAATATTTTTAAATATTCAATATGTTATTAACTTTTTCCTGTTTATAAAATATTTTTCCATATTTGTACTGATAAATTTTATTAATTTGTGTTGCACTTATATTCACGGTTTTGAACTGGACCCGAACCAGAATCCCTTTTAAAAAAATATCTAACCGAATCCGAAAAATCTTTCGAACACGGTTTCAAACGGGTCTTTTAAAATTTTTAAAAGGGAGTTGAGGAATAAATAATTATAACTTTTTATATTCCAAGCAAGTAAATCCATAAATTAAATATAATTTTTTTTTTACCATCTTCACATAAAACGTGGCGTGAAATTCGTTAGTTTTTGGACACTTGATTGATAAAAATTATGGATAGAAATATAAAATAAATTAGAAAAATGATTATTTAACAAATATTTTTTCTAATCTTCCCCGAAATATCTTGATATTATAGCCTTGCGTTCTAGTAAGAGTTCCTGTACTGAAAAATATATTTATATCTGTCTGTACAAGAACATCAGCCAAATGCTTACACGTAGACAATTAGTGTTGTTAAATTACCTAGCTTTTTAGTCAACTATATAAAACAGCGTTGCCATGTTTTTAATCAAAAATATTCCAATCAATCTTCAAATTGAGAGTCAACTTAGAGGCTATTAATTTAATTTTTAAGTCTAAAGGCTTGGCTAAACCACAATTGAGATGGTTAAAGTTAGGGAATTTAACAACACTATGAAACATTTAAGATTTGTTCTGAAATGTTCCGATTAATTTTATTATAAGATACTCATCCTATCATATTTATATCAATTTATAACGCTTATATATTAAAAAGAAGTATATTTTATGGACACCATTTGATTGTATACTCATTGAAAATATTTATCAAATTGACATTTTATATTGTGATATAAGACGAAAAGCCTATAAATAACCTTCTTATATAAACAAATAAGAAATAATTTGATTCACACTTCGACTTCAACCCACAAATTTTTAAAACTCTAGTTAATCAAAAGAGGATTCCTCTCCGTTCCTCACCGTTTAAGAAGATATCCGAAATATTGTTTCGTAACTTGCTCTTAGAAATATCTAGTGTTGTTAAGAGGCTCCTATTGAGCCGAGATTATTTAAAACTGCTAACTCAATTTTTTAGCCATAAAAATATTGCCTAAGTTTCGAGATTTCGATAATACATGTCTAGAACCTTTGTTTTATCTATAGGTTTGCGTAATATTTTTCTGGATAAAATATTGAGTTTTTGCCGTTTAATCAGCTCAAATCGAGCCGTTTTAACAAAACTAATTATATCTACCAAAATTCTTAATATTTTGTTAACATTGTTTAAATTCAAATAATGACTTAAATGAATTAACCAATTTATCCATGTAAATCAATGACAAGCCAAGCTTGACGTCAACCGGCTTGTCGTGTTCTTCTATGGGTATCACGTTTTTGTCATAATCTTTCAAGAGGGATTTTTTCAGATTAGTTTCAGCTTGATACTGAACACACTCTGAAATTATTTTATATTTTTAAATAAGTTAGTAATAATTCTTATTATAACTTACTTATTTATCATAATAAAGTTTATTATATTTAAAATTTCCGTTGATAATGAATACAAATTTGTATATCGTCGAAGCAAACTAAGAATTTTAGAAATGTGTTTTTATTTAGTATTTATAGGTTTATTAATTTTTATCCTTTTTCTGGTAGTAAGCTCCTTCCATTCTCTCCACTTTATTACTCATGCAATCTCTTTTTTATCATTTCTGATATCCCCCACCGGGGTTTCTTATGATTCCATGAGTATCATTATCTAGGCCACTGTATCTTGATATCACACCGAAGAATATGTATATTATATTTTAAGGCTCTTATCCTCAATCCTAATAGAAATGCCTTATTTTATCATTATTTAAAATTTCCATTACCTCATTATCTTAAAATTTAGGATATATGTTTAATAATTCGGTTAATATTAATGATTGATGGATGTTTATTCATTTTATAAAGGAATAATTTTTATATTTTTATTAAATTTTGAAAATATCAAATCGGTTTTTGATTCTCCTAAAAAATTTAGAAAAAAAAGAAAAATGGACGTTTGCAATGAGATCGACGGTAAGTAGTAAATTTGGAATCTAAAGGGATTCGAAATCTTCCCCATATCATTTATTAAAAAAAATTTTTTTAACTTGATCTGAACAAAAAATTATTTTAACGACGAACCCACACCTTAAATTTCCAACAATTTTGTGGTGAACTTAAACTACTCTAATGTTTGTATAGATTTTTTATATAAATTTAAAATAAACCACATTGCTTGTGGAGGAATAACATCCGAGTAATTCTAAAAATTTAAGAATTATTCTCGCCTTGGTAAATTAAATAATTTGTACATTGTGAATTCCATATCCAAAATACCACATTAATTCTTAATTTTAGTAATAAAAGTGTAAAACTCTGGTTATTTATCGATTCTAATTATATATTTACTTATTCTTCTCTATTTAAAAAAAAATATATAAAAAATTAACTCACCATGCAGGTTTATACTGATTCCCAACAGAATCAAACATTTTGTCCACAACATTTTATGCGCTAAGAAGAAAAAATAGAAGAAGTTAAAAAAAATATTTTTTTTTTTAAAAAAAAATTTGAAAAAGAAAAATATTTCAAAAATGATATCTTATCTATAATTATCATAACCAAGATCAAATTTTTTTATAAAAACAAAATTTGCTTTGGTTCGAAAAACATATGTATTTTTGATACATTTGGAAATAGTTATAATTAAAATTAATATAATAATTTTGACCGACTTGAACCTCCTTTTTGAACTCAAAGATAAGGAAAAAAAGAAAAGAAAATAAGGAAAAAAAGATAAAGAAAGGAAAAGAAAAAGGATTATAAAAGAAAATAAAGGAAATACAAATTAGAACTATAGAGTGTAATGTACTATATTAAGAAATGGACTATTTATCTAGAAAATTACGTGATTGGATGATTTCGACTCTTCGTTTGCATTCCTGACACTACAGAGATTACCATCGAGAAAAAGAAAAGTGTCAATCAAAAAAAGGAAAAGTCCCAGAGGATTAGGAAAAAGTTCTAACTAAAAAGGTAAAGTGACAAACAAAAACGAAAAATCCAATCAAAAAATGAAAAAGTGTCAATCAAAAGAGATAAAATCCCAAAGACTTAGGGAAAGAGTCCGAACAAAAATGAAAAAGTGTCAAATCGAATCAAAAAAGGAAAGGGGTCAATTAAAAAAGGAAAAGTGTCAATCAAAAAAGGAAAAGGGGCAATTATAAAAGGAAAAGTGTCAATCAAAAAAGGAAAATGTTTATTTTTTTAAAAAAAATTATGTTTTTTTCTTGTCAATTTTTCTTTAAATTTTTATTTTTTCTTCCTATTTTATTTCTAACTTTTTGCAATCTCTTTAGCTCATTTTTAATTTTAATTTTTCTTAATCTTTTCTCAAATTTTTTTTCTCTCATTTTTTATCGTTCTTTATTTGTCTTTCAAAAAATTATTTATTTTTAATTTTCGCTTAATTTTTATTTCTCATTGGCACATAAAAAAATTTTTTTATTAATATTTCTGCGTGTCAAATTATTTCACTAAAATTGCTGAATTGAATTAATCTTTTTGGTCATCTCATTCTTATGAATCAGTTTAATCACGTAAATTAGAGATTTTAAAATAAACATAATATTTAAAATTAATTACAAATTTGAATATTAAATAAATATCTTTGCTCTATGTTTCTATTGAAATGTATAATTTGTTATATATATATATATATATCTATTTGGGGAGAGTTTCATGATAAGTGTCATTTTTTGTGGTAATTTATCGAGTCATCATTATCACGAAAATTGAATATTTTATCTTTGGAGTATATTATTAATAAATTTATATTTATTTGTCAAAATGTGCAAGATGTGAAAAACATTAAAAAAAGAGTAAAATCATTGTTAAATTTTTTTTTTCAAATTGTAAAATGGTTTTTGAAATTGAATAAAGAAGATTTTGACGTAAGAAAATAAAATATTATTACATACTATAAGAAAACATATTAACCCTGGAATCATATAAAATAATCGTTTATGTATATTTCTATTTATTGAATATATTTAAAAATTTCAAGTTGTGAACTTAAGTTCTTAAAATATTCGTCCTCTAGTCGACTAGAGGACGAATATTTCAGATATATTATTATTTTAAGATAGTTTTTGTATTTACTACTTTCGACTTCCAACTTGAGTCGTGACTCGTGAATATAATTAAATAATTGAGTCGACTAGAGGACCAATAGTTCTATGAACTTGAGTTGACTAGAGGACGAATATTTGAAATTAGTTATTATTATTTAAGATATTTGTTGTTATTTACTTTTTACTTTAGACCTCCAACTTGAGTTGTGAATACAAAATATATAGTTATCGAATAGAGGACGAATAGTTCTCTGAACTTGAGTCGTCAATTTAAGTCGATTAGAGGACGAATATTTCAAATTAATTATTATTTATTAAATATTTTTTCTGCTTTTTAAATTTTTTTACTTTAGACTTCTAATTTGAATTGTGAAAACTGAAAAGAATTATATAAATGAGTCGGTCGACTATATGATGAATATTCCAAATTAGTTATTATGAAAATATTTTTTGTTTTTTATATTTTATTACTTTAGACTTCCAACTTGAGTCTTGACGTGAATAAGAATTATATATTTGAAGTTGAGTCGACTAGAGGAAGAAAAGTTCTATGAACATGAGTCGACTAGAGGACGAATATTTTTAATATTATTAATTAAGATATTTTTTGGTTTTACATTTTTTACTTTAGACTTACAGTTGAGTCGTGAATACATATATAGTTGAGTAGATTAGAGGACGAATAGTTCAAATTATTTGTTATTATTTAAGATTCTATTATTTACATTTTTGTACTTAAAAAACTTGAGTCGTCAATTTGTGTCGACTAGAGGACAAATATTTTAAATTAATTATTAAGATATTTGATCTGTTATTTACATTTTATTACTTAAGACTTCCAACTTGAATTATGAATACCAATTATTAACTTCATTAACTTATTCCTCATTTTACTTGATCAAATAAATTCTTATTTAAACAAATCTTTGTCCTTTTTCCCAAGTTTATCATACTTGCTATAACCATCTTTATTATGTATATATCTTGAGGGTGGTTGATCAGATGCATAGGAGACATCTTCTTTCTTCTCAGCTTCCTCAAGCAATTTTTTAAATTTTTCCAATGACTAAATTTTTAAAAATTAGGGGATAGATTATATATATATAAAAATAGTTAAATATTGGTATCCTTAATCATTAAAAAATACCCACTCCCAATCTCTCTGCTATAATTTCTTGTAGAGGTCTTCCTGTGTCAACTGATTGTTCTTTTGCTCTTTTAAATGATTTCCTTAGCCAACTTGCACCTCCATCCCCAATAATTATTGATGGTGTAGAATTTGTTTTGTTAGAAATATCTACTTTATTGCATGGGTTTTTAAAATATGGATTTAATTCTCTTGATTGTCTTACTTTCTACAATTTACAGTTAACTAAATTAATAAATTGTATTAATACTTCTATCTCCTCATCTTTAAGTTTTTTTTTGTCAGATCTATCTTGCTTATTATCTAAAGTTGAATATCTTCCAATCAAACTTGAAAAACAATCCTCATCATAGTCTTTAGGTGATGATTTATCCTGGATTACAACATTAGTATCTTCTTTTTCAACCCAAACTTCCTCATAATCCTACATTTGATTTTATTAAAAAAATTATTTTATATCTTACATTCATCATTGAACCAACTTTGCACAAAAATATAATGACATTGTTACATGTCATATCTAACTGCCAGATTATTAAGTTTCTGTATTTCGACTATATTAGCTTATAAAGGTTTTTCGTATGGATGATGGTGTAGTGGATGATATTTGGGTGGCATTTTAATATAAATTATTAATTTAAAAAAACCGGTCAAAATTATAACCAAAATAACATTATGTAAGCTATAAAATTTTGCTAGCTGGCAGAAATGCTTGGACATCTATTGGCAAGTCTTAATCGGGCCGTTTTGAAAAATCACCTGACTCGATCTTTTTAACAACACAACTTATTATAAATTTTATGAGCAGATTGTTATACATAAATAACTAAAATTTGTTGCCAAAATAAATGTGCTGTATAACTCACACAACTGGAACCTTTCTTTAAAATGCCAATGTTGAATAGCCCGATTCAGGTTGATGTTTAAAAACGAGTCGATATAAATTTTACTAAAATAATGTTATATAAGCATCGAGATTTAATAAATAGAGATCCAAATTTTTCTGCCATTTATGAGCAAAATCTCTATGTTTAGATAATATTATTTTGGCTAAAATCTTATTCGGTCAGTTTTTAAAATCAATCCAAATCAGTTTTTTTACAAAACTTTTTTATATTATAAAACTCGATTTCAATAATTCTATTAAGAATATTCTTAGACATATCCGCTTTCACTAAATCAACTGCTTATTGCTAATATCTCTAAAATTTTATAATATTATTCACTTAAAACAATGTATAAAACAGGTGATCTCATTGGCCAGGAATCTATTTATTTAAGGAATTAGAAATATATTTTGAATATAATTTATATAGGCAATGTTATTAGAGTTTCAATATTTTTCGATTATTATGTTATCATAACCTTCTATCTAAGATATTAGAAATGCCCATTATTATCAAATTAGTGTAGGTCTTATTCTTAAATCAAAATTTAATTATCCCTCTCTAACTTTTTTCATACAATAAAAGTATATTTTAAAATTAACTCGCTTAAGACCACTTTAATTATCTCATATAGTATGATTAAAAAGCCCATTTGTGTTGATTTTTTAAAATGACCCGATTAAGAATTTAGATATAACGATACTATGGTATAGAGATTTTTCAAATAGAAGTATAAGCATTTCTGACAGATATTAGCAAAATCCTTAGACTTACATAAACTTATGTTGGTTATAATCTTAATCAGACTGTTTTTTAAATTGATCCGAATCTGACATTTTAACAACACTAATTTCATATTTATTATATGTTGCATGTGCTATATTATATATTTAAATACTTAAATAATTTATATTTAAAGTTCAGTTAAACTATTATATATTTAAACACTTAAATAATTTATATTTAAAGTTCAGTGAAATTTATTTGTATATCTCAAGGCAACAAAATATATATATAAATGAATATGTATTTTTCTTTTTACATAGATATTTTTCATTTTAAAAACGACTTGTATTTTCTTTTTGAGTAAATATAAATAAAATACTAATTTACTATAACAACCATTCTAGATTAAATATTCAAGCCTTATAAATAAAATACCAATTTACTATAACAACCATTCTAGATCAAATATTCAAACTTATCTCTTCTCTTTCATCATTATACATATACATAAGATGGTTTAAATCCATAATACATTTATACCGCATATAATAAATAGACAGAGCGAGGGAAATATTAATAATGATATATCCCAACAAACTATATGAGTGTTCGGAAGTTTACCATCACCTGATATTATATTAATATCAAATATATATATATATATAATTGTAATTATAATAAATATAATATAAATATCACATGATAAATGATGTGGGTGTTAGGTAGTTAACCTAATCCAATATCATATCAAATTAAAAATATATATATATATATAATCATTATTACCATATCTAATTGAAGATTATAATAATTCATAATATATAGATAGTATATTTAAATATATTTCTACATTACTACATTTCCTCTTCATTAACTAAAAGGAAAGCTACATCTCCTAGTATATTATGCCGAATTGAGGTCCACCTCTAATCAAAATAAATTTTTATTAGTAATTTATTAATAAATGTCATACAATATTACAGGCCAAAATATTTTCCGTCCTATTTGACATAATTATTTTAAAAAATATTTAGGGACATAAAATCAAAAAATCAAGTATAAATATAATTTTAAGGAAATATTTAGACATTTAAAGAATCACATTTTTTTAATAAAAAAATGATTATGAAAGATTTAAATTAAATATTGGTATTCATATTTTCCTTAAAGATTGTAGTAAATATTTCAAAATATTTATCATCTAATATAATCACTAACCCTCATCTTGTTGCATAGCCTTAAGCTAGCTGTTACCGTGGTCCACGAGCTTTATATCAATCCTTAACCTGAACAGCGTAGTTTGGTAAATACAAAGAGAAACATTGGCTTCTTCACTCCACTCAGCAGCCCTAAGTTTCTTTTAAATTTTATCAATTGTAGCGGGTTTGGTGCCTAGTAAAATGACTATTAAATCTGATATAATATAAACACTAACACTTATTTTATTTGTATAACTTCAAGTTAGAACGCGCTTAAGAACATGATATCAATCCTATCTTTAACCGCATAGTTTCATAAAAAGTAAAAGAAACTTATTACCTGCTTCGCGCTCTTAGCGCTGCTCAGTCCTAAGGATATTTAGAATTCTAATAGAGTGGGTTTGATGTCTAATAAAATAGGTATTTCTTGGCTTCTAATATAAACACTATTGTTACAACTATAATATTAATAACATCTCAAATGTCACAAAATATCTTCTAATCATTTAATCTTAAATAGATTTTTTAAAATATATTTTATACATATATAAAATATTTTTTAGATAAATATTTAAAGCTTAGTTACATAGTGCTTATAAGTTGGACGTTTGCAATTTATATTTTCATTCAAAAGAATTAAAATATACGCAGCCAGTTAACACGACATTTTTGTTTCTCGTATAAGAAAAATTAATGAAACTCTGATTTTTTAAACATGTTTTCATAAAATTTTAATAAATTATTTGTATGGGAAATCAAAATGAGGTATCGCCAGCGATATACATTTACATGAATGAGTCGTCAGTGATATTGTCACTACCCCTCCAAAACAGGGATGACACTAGCCTCTACTATATCAGGGGACTCAAAAAAATTTGTTAAAATTATTTTTAAAATTATCTTATTTTTAAGCTAACTTACTTATTTTTTTTAGTAGAATAAAATAAAATTTCAAAATTTTGAGGAGGCTCTTCAAATTTTTGGGACTTGAGTCCTTGCCTTCTCCCTAGTAACGCTACTCTTCCAAAAAAGGAAGACAGCCTGTCTGGCCCTGGGAAAAATTTTAGCTCACTTTCTAAATATAAATTACTAATTGCTATATATTATATATTATTTATTTTAAATTGATTGCACTTATAAAAAAAAATCATTATAAATTATATAACAATAAAAAATAAAATATTATCTCTAATAAAAATTCAAATTATTCACAGAAATATGTAAAAAATTATTAATATTCTTAAAAATAAAAACAACCTTCTACATGATATCACGACACAATTTTGAATAAATGTATTTTTGTGTCCCTTATAGAAGTACATAATTTTTTTTAGCTGTTTAGATAAATAACGAAGCTTCTCAAATTTTTTTCAAACTATATGTTTAGACTGTAGGTTATAACGGCTGGAGGATTATTTTAATAAATAATTAATCAATAGAAGAAAATAATTATTATATGACCAGATTAATCGACATATCTCGTTCTAACTATTATTTGAACGATTAAATAATACTAAAGTATACCCTTAGATAAAGTTTTCGAACCTAAAGGCCAAAAAAATCAAGTTTTTTTAACCCATTCTCTGAATGGGTATAATGAATAGAGAGAATTATGGCCATTGAAGGAATTAATTAACGCAATATTTTAAAAAAATATCCCCAAAAGATATATCAGTTATAAATATGTTTTGGTGGTTTCCTTTCAGAAGATAGTTTTGGTTCTAAAAAGAAATAGCTCCTGTTCTGAGGCTTGGTATAAGTTGATCTTCTTCTCCTTTCAGTGGAAAAGTTTACGTAGGTCAGCCAGTTTCCCCTCTAATTATTTTTTCACATTTTTGTCTGTCCTGAGCATTAAATTTTGTAAGATTCATTTTCCTTATATCCGCCTCTATCTCCTTTAACGTCATCTTAGGCCTTCCACGAAGCTTGGTTATGTTTTGTCTTACGTTCCACGTGCCCAAACTAAATAAGTCAATTTCTTTTCATTACCATTCTATTCAAATATATTCCAATCCTTATCCTTACTAGCAGTTCCTTGCTAGTTTTTCTATACCACACACATACATCTAATAACTCTCATCTCTGTTCTTTTCAATTTGGCTTTGTGTGCCACTTTCATTTCCATGTTTAGGCCGCCTTAAACAAAACAACTCCTCACACAGCTTACGTAAACTTTCCCCTTTAACTTCATGTTTTTTATATGTTAAAATAGACCACTAACTTCTTCTATTTTCTCTCTCTCTCTCTTTCTTTCTTTCCATTTCTATCTTTCCATAAAAGCTATATTTTGAAAATTCTTCAAATTTTTAATTTATTTACTATATTTGAAACGTAATTTATATAGTATAAAAAATAATTTTAAAAAATATATATTATTTTAGAATGAAATAAAAAAAATAATTATTATTTAGTTTTCATCAAACATCTTTCGGAATTTCATAGCAAACGTTATAGAGGTATAAGGGGACTCAGGGCAACATGGGTAGGTAGTATTTTTTGCGAAGACTATATTATCTATCAATTCCCAATTCACGGTGGGGAAGTAGTAATTTATGTCAATTTTGTTATCACCTTCAAACAAATCTAAATGTAGCATACTGTTATCGAATACC